CACTATCCGGTTGAGACTGCCCTATAGTCTAGTGACCGTTTTAGTGTGTATATATATGTATCGACAATGTAGATATTGCATGAATTGGTTGGGAGTGTATAGTTTATCGGTTCTTTGATTGGATTGTTGTAGAAAGAACTTGTTCGTAAATTTGACCCACACTTTAATTTTTCAAGTCTACGTCAATTCCAGACCTAGAGAATGTTCGTGCAGCTAAAAAAACATCCGTAGTCATTCTTCCGTATTTATCGACGTAGGATTTCATTTCATGTCTTTATTGTTCAAACTTAGGCATTTGAGTATTTCAATTATGGGATATTTATTAGGGGTCCATTATATACGGATTCCCGAATTGTATTATAAAGATTTATTTATTATTGGATTTATTGGAGTTTTGGTATCAAAGGAGTTAAAGATTATTACAAATTATTTTAGTTTTCTTTTCAGCGTTATTATTTATTTTACTATTTATCCTCTTATATTATGTACTTGTTTTAAATATTAATTATTTGATATCTCTCGATCGTTGGGCGAGAACTTTATTAACCCGCGCTTGAAAATTGGATTTGGACAATATGACAAATCGACGATTAAATATAAGGGGCAGTTTGTTCACTTTTAAAACTATAGGTAATGACTTGTTCACTTTTATATCAAATGAGGTATTTTACTCACTCGACGAAACTTGAGAGGATTTTTTTTCGCACTTTCGCTTAGGGTTGTAACTCGGGAGAGTTGGGCGAGTTTGAGGCATAACTTGAGCCCAACCCACCATATAAAATGCTAAACCCAAGTCCAACCTTAACCTTATTCTCAACACTAACTACTAAACCTGAGCCCAACCCATCATTCTACTTTTAAATTCGGGTTTACAACTCGGACTTAGATTTCGTGTTAAAACTTTGAGTTAATTCGGGCTACTCATGTGACTAATCTTCATTCCAAAATTTTAATATGATCTTGAATTAGTTTTAGATTAAATGACTCTTAAACAAAAAAAAGTTCAAATACTTTTTGTAAATTTTTAATAAATTACAAACAAATTTTTAGAAAATTAAGTTTCCTAAATGTTAACATACAATTAGTTAAGATTTAACAAAGGATATTAAAACGAAAAAAGGTAATTATAGTTTAAATATTATATATAATATATTTTGAAGTAAAAAGTTATAGAAAAATAATATTATAATTTAGGTTCGGGTTGGGTTAGGATTTCCCAACCCAAGTTGCACGCCTAAGTTTTGCCAAAAAAAAAAAATAATAATAAAAGAGAACTTTCATTACATTTTATTGTTTTAAATAACTAAAATGTGTGCAATTTTTTTTTCTTTTTATGAAATCAATAATCATAATACCCACTTGGTCATTACTCCAATCGGTATAGTTTGTCCTCCTTCAAAAGCAATGTCAAGGATTTGAGTCTGGGTACTTGAGTGTGGGGGTGGGTAATTTATCTAACCAATAAATATACACAAAAATGATCTAATAAGAAAATTAGACACATTAGTGATGATTGAATATAATTGTTATAATAAGTGTAGTGATGATTGAATATAATTGTTATATTTTTTTACAGTTAGTTAAAGAATTTTTTTGGTATACAAGAGATTATTTCTTATATATATATATATATAATCGTAATTTGAAAATAATTATAAGATGAAGAAATCACTTTAATCATTAACCCAAAAAAAAAATTGGGTGGAGCTCAAAAATTGGGTCCTACCCTGTTTTTAATGAATTTTCCCTTAAAAAATGGGAAAATATAATAAAAGAAGGGAGGAAATCTATGAAACTTTTAAAGAACGTGGGGTCCTATGAACCTCTTTATAAAAGACGAATTACAAAGATGCAATAATGCACTAGTCTACCTTACCCCCAAAAAAATAATAATAATAATTCACTCTTGTCTTTACTTTTATAATAGTTAGTGGAAACAACCTTAGAAAAGGGAACAAATATAAAATTAAAACTAAAAAGTTTATGTGAAGATTCTTTTAGGTATGTTTGATACATAAAAAAAAAAAAAAAAGAAAAGAAAAGAAATGATAGTATTAGTTAAGAAGGAAAAGAAAAAAAATGAGATAATAGTGTTAGTTATTTGTTGTGTTTGGTTGATTAATAAATGAAAAGAAAAAAAATGATAGTAATCATGTTTAAAAAAGAAAGGAAACGAAACTAATGTAATAAATTTATACTCTTTTTTATTAAAAAAATTCTCTTATAGATATAAGGACAAATTTGGTTTTAACAAAATTTCATTAAAAATATTAACTTTTCTTTTATTTCCTAACAAAAGTTACTATTTAATCTATAGTCTTTCCTTTCAAACTCCTTCACTCCCTTCCCTTTTCATCCAACATTTTATACCAACCACAACTTTTTATTTTCTTCCATTTTCTTTTTTTTCTTTTCCCCCATTTCCATTATACCAAACTGAGCCTGAAGGTTTATATATGCGTCTAGCTTTGAAGATGTCATAGATAGCTTTAGCCTATATTTATATACCATGCTTGTGGTACGGGTCGGAATTTAATTTCTAAGGGTACAAAGTAATAATTTATAAATTATATACTTATAAAAATTTCATGCTCGATCAGAGGTGTTTTAGAAAGAAAACTAATTTTTAGGGGGTCACAAAGTAATATTATATAACTTAGGCACCTTTGTAACAATGACACACCCAAGTTCATTACCACCGACACCCTAAACCACCACCGTTGACACCAATATCACTCCAACACCCACCGTCGAGAGCAAAATAACCGCCGCCAAATCCCCGGGCTTTGCGCCATTGTTTCTTTACGTTAACCAGATATTAACTCTAAAATTTATCTTCACTCAGTAATTTATTAACAATAAAACAATATTACGCATATATCTTGCATCCATTTAAATCAATATTTGGGATTTACAATTTCGGAAAGAGTAAGTGATTTGAAAAGGATTTACGGTTCCTTTTAGAGTGTTAATAGTAAATGTTTGACAGAGTTGTAGTATTTGTCTTGTAAGGGTGGCAGGAATATCGGTTGAAGATTGCACCTAGGGGGGCACGTGCACCCTCTGGTCTGGCCCCGTTTACTATAATATATATATTAAATTTATATATTTCACATGTACATATAAAAAAATTCATATAATGCCTTCTAAAATTTTTATTTTTTAAAATTATCTCTTAAATTTTTATATTTCTTATCTTTTTTACTCTTTAAACTCGTTTAATTTTCTTTTTGAATCAAACTTCAATTTTTTTCCTTTTAAAATTCTCTCATTTTTCTTTCCTTTTTAAATTTTTTGTAAACTATTTATCTTTCTTAAACTATTCATTGATTAATATATTAATTTGAGTAATTATTTTTCTTTATCTCTTGATTTATAGAATTTATATTTATTGTCGTGATTATTAAAAAAAAAAAATTAAACTGTGTCCCCTCAATTTAATTTCTCCTTGATTGCATCTACAAGTCCCCGGGGGTGGAGCAAGAATTTTAGTTCAGAGGGGCACAATGCACTTGTTGGAAAAAAAAAAAAAAAAAATCAACAAATATGACAAATAGGAAGTATAATTTTTTTAAATAAAAAAGCAAATAAGAAAAAAATAGTTGTAAAATAATATGCTAAATAAATACTGTAAAAAAAATACAGTTACAAATACAAGAATCAAAATATTAATTAATAATATTTTAATTAAATACAATCACAAATGTCATCAATAAAAAGAAATAAGTTAAAAAAAGAAAAAGAAAAATACCTAATTATACATAAGTAAAAAAAGAAATTTTTTGAAAAAGTAAACAAAAATTTTAAAAGGAAAAATATATTATATACTTGAAGAAAAGATATATATAATTTTTTTTTTTCAAAAGAAAATTAGAAGAATTAGAAATTTTTAGGAGTGGCACTATTTAAAATTACCATAAAAGTATATGTATATACCAAAAATATGTGGAACAAAGTGGGGGGGGCTCCGGCTTTAATTGGCTCCGCCCTTGCAAGTCCTTAAGCATGAAGTTTGCTACCACAATTGTTGATACCTTTAATTGTGGTTGTTCTTTAATGATATGAATGTACTTTTCTAAGAGAAAGGTTATTTGTGGCTCTTAAATAATTGTGCACATGCGCAAAAGGTAGCAGAACCAGTGGTTAGATGGTTCTGCATATTAGCACAGATTCACTATGCTTATATTTGTTGTAACCTCTAAATGAAACTCTGCGGATGTTCGATGTGATGGAACTTAGATGCTTTTGTTGCATGCAATAAAAATATCATAAAGTTCTACATAATATTAACTTTATTAACAGGATTTGCAGTTATGGATCAGTTTCGAAGATTGGGTGTTGGAGTGGGACTCAATCATGCAAAGCTCGAGGACTTGGCGGCGGCAATTTTGTTCTCGATGGTAGGTGTTGGAGTGGTATTGGCGTCAGTGGCAGTGATTGTGAGTTTGGGTTTCAAATTTTGTAGTTTGGAAATGAGTAGATTAATTTTGCCCATTAAATTGCATTAAGAAAGTCAAAATGGTAAATTTATAATTAAAATAAGTTAATTCGCAAGTCAAAGGGGAATAATGTACTTTTCTCTTAGTTTGGGTGTCATTGTTCAATTTATCAAATTTGGAATGTGTCATTGTTAAAAAGCGTCTAAGATTTAGATGTTTGTCTTTGATTTTAACCCAAACTTGAGGTATGAGTGTAATATATCTTTTTTTATATTACTTGACATTTGACTCACTTATGTTATGAGGCAAAAATTAGTCAAATTTGAGGGAATGTTTAAAATTTTATTTTATTTTATTATTTATTTGTTTATTTTTTAACTAGTTTAATATGTAAGCAATAAAAACAAATTTAGAGGACAATGAGCATGGTTGTTATTTAACAATTTTAGCCAAAGTCAGCATTAATGGAGGAAAAAATGTTATTTTTAAATTTATTAGTGAGTTTCTTATTATTTAGACAATCTAACAGGGAGATAAATGTAATTATTCCATGATATTTCCTCTTCCTTTCTCCTTTACCCCTTTCTCTTCCTTCAGACTCGGTCTCTTTGTCACAAGAACGCCCATGCAGTGGCCTCAAACCATGACGATTCCGTCACTCCCTCTGACGGTCAAGACGAGATTCAGATGCACAAACTTGCACAAGAAACTGAACAAACAGTTTTCTCGGAAAATTTATCTTCAATTTTCTCATCCAAACGATCCAACCAGTACTCATTATCATGTCTTCTCCACTTTCACTAGTCTTCTTGTTTTCGATCTCGTCCATCCTCTATGAATCGTCGTGCTCAGCAGTCGTCAATCCCGCCAAAGTCGAACAGATTTCATGGAAACCCAGGTGCTTCTTCCTCCAATCCTTCTTTTACCTTCTGTTTGGCTACTCAGAAAATGCAGGAAAATAAATGAAATTTATATTTGAATATCATATTTTGTTATGTAATTCCACCACTCATCAAAATGTAATAATTCGCAGAGCTTTTGTCTATAGAGGTTTTCTTACGGACGATGAATGCAATCATTTGATATCTCTGGTCAGTGTAATTTCAATCTTTTCAATTTATTAGAAACTATTCATGCGTGTTTGTGTAAATTTATTGTAGTTGAATTGGTTTTGGACTTTGGAATATGTTGCAGGCGAAATCTGAGCTCAAGAGATCTGCTGTTGCAGATGATGTGTCTGGACAGAGCAAGCTCAGCGAGGTCCGAACTAGCTCCGGGACGTTTATCAATAAGGCAAAGGTTTGTTCTTAAAGCACTTTGATCATATTGTTAATATATATATGTGTTTGTAATTGTTTGTGCAATAAGGCAAAAGGTTTGTTCTTAAAACACTTTGATCTTATTGTTAATATATATGTGTGTAATTGTTTGTGCAAATATATATTGTTAATTGCATCTTATGATTAGTCCATGTTTTGGCTTCTTCTAAGACTTGAACGGAATTGTTCCTGGGCACTCGAAGCCTCTCCTGAGATATAAATGTCCACTCTTTAAATAAAAAGAATCGGTTAACATGAGCAATGCACCAATGGTATTATGTATGGCTGATTAAAGAACTCCTAAAATAGAGATGAATGAAATTTTGTGCAACTCTTTTTTTAAATTTTTTATCAGGCATTGGAATTTGCGACATAGAAAAAATAAGTACCAATAAGGACACCTTGGAATAAGAGTGTCTATTTTATTAAATCTTTCAATTATCAATTTGTAAGTTCTAACACTTCCTCTATGGAGGCCTATATCTAACAATATGGCAAAATTCATGGCTCAGCCCCCATGTAATATCATTTGAGAATGTCAGAACATTATTGAACTTTCCAATACTAAGGTGCTGGTTGATAAAACTAAATATTAAGTACTAAAAAATTTAAGAGCTGAATTTTAAGTGCGGAAGCTTTTAAGTGGTAATTAAAAAATAAATATTTTTGATACCATTTTGAATTTTTAGCATTCAGTGATAAGTGATTTCCGTGTCACTTAAAATTTTACTTCATTTTAAGTGGCGCTTTAATGTATAATAGCTCGCTTGTGATTATCCGAGCGTACAAGATCATTGCAAATCAGAAGGTGAAAAGGTAAGGAGAATAGAAGAAAAAAATAAATAAATAAGGAAAAGTCAAAAGGAGATTTGGTGTAATTGCCAACAATAGAAGGAATTAGTCTCCATTGCAAGAATTAAGGAAGATTTAAAAAATAAATAAGAAGATTTGGTATAGTTGTCAACAATAGAAGATATTAGTTTCCATTGCAAGATTTAAGGAAGATTCTGTTCCATCAAATCTCACATTTCCCCTTTAATATTATTTCACGCATACTTTCTTTTTTAATTTTATTTTTAACTTATCTATATAAAGGCAAGAGATATAAGTCTACAGACATCATCACTATCAATTTAATTTCAGTTTCTCTCTTATGAGTGTGTTCTTTGTGAAATCAAGGGTTTAACCCTGTTCTTTATCGTTTCTGCTACGTTAGTTGGTAGCCGGTTCACAAGATGGAAGCAACCCCTCCAGTGATGGTGATCGTGATGCAGTAGCTCTTTTGAGGGCTGAGTTTACTGAGTTCCAGGCCAACGTTAATCGAACCTTACTTGATATGCATGAACGTTAATCGAACCTTACTTGATACTATGTGTCAAGTATTGGTGAGATTGACAACGGTAGAACTTAACCACGAGAACAACAAGTTGCCCAACGACGGTGATCATGAACGTCCTGCTGGTAATCGCAACCCAAACCCACCGAATAGGCAACCAGCCTATGAGGAATATGTCGGTTTTGGTAACAACCAAGCCGTACATGTGTTTGGAGATAATCGTGGGAAATTGATGATTTCGGGGATTTTCGTATGAAGATTGATTTACCCACCTTTCAAGGTCATCTTCGTATTGAAGAATTCTTGGGCTGGATTAATGAAGTTGAATGTTTCTTTGACTATATGAAAATCCAGGAGGAGAAGCAAGTCAAACTCGCGGCCTTTAAGTTGAAAGGCGGCATATTAACATGGTGGGATCAAGTGCAAACTACCCGCGCACGTGAGGGTAAAGATCCGGTACGTACATAGGTTAAGATGAAGAAGTTGATGAAAGCTCGATTTTTACCCCCTGATTACGAACAAGTTCGTTATCAGAAATATCAGTCCTGTGCGAAGGGAAGTAGAACGATTACTGAATAATTTTATCGGTTGTCATTCTGTAATAACCTGGTGGAACCCGAATTTAGCACGGTGACTTGTTTCAAAGGCGGGTTACGATGGGATATTGAAGAGAAAGTGGCATTGCAACTGCTATTCAAATTGTCTGAGATTGTCACGGCGGCAGAGAGAACAAAATCTTTATTGTAGAAGTCAAAGAATCGGTCTCGTGGTTCATATAATACCCCACGTCCTACACATGACATGGGTAAACAGACCGCGGTAGTCCCTGTTCCAATGACATGGCGAGGCATTAGAGATGGTCCAATAAAGGCCAAACCCTAGGCCCTGCTGGAAGGGGAGCCCCAGCTGTGAGAGAAAATCCCTATGCACACACAAGTATGGGCAAGTGTTTTCGATGTGGAGAACCTGGCAATAAATCCAAGAATTGCCCCAAGTGACCGACAGTAAATTCGGTGGAGCGTGAGGAAGACGAGGGTGAGGAAGGTGAGTTCCTTACCTTTGAAGAAGAAGAGGTGACTGAAGGAGACAATGGCGAGTTGTTGTCCCACTCTTTAGTTGTGAGGAGGTTTATGTTCACGCCAAAGAAGGAGGAGCACCCGCAACGTCATAATGTGTTCTGTACATGTTGCACTGCCAACTATAAGGTATGTGATGTTATTATTGATAGCGGCTGTAGTGAGAACAATATTTCCTTAACAATGGTTTGAAAATTGTGACTTAAAACAGAGAGAGATCTCCTTCCATACAAAATTAGATGGATCAAGAAAGGCTCAGAATCGCGAGTAACTGAAATTTGCACCGTTCCATTCTCAATTGGGAAAACATATGTAGAGGAGGTGTGTTGTGATGTAATCGACATGGATGCATGTCATATGATATTGGACAGACCATGGCAATTTGATGTCGATGCCACTCACCGTGGTAGAGATAATGTGTACATTCTACACAAGAATGGTTATGAGATTGTTTTGGGTCTGCCGAAAGAATCTAAATTTCCTAAAGGAAATTTAGTTATGTTGATCAACAGTGAGGAATTTTTGGGTGAAGTAACAACTGCCCCTGAAATCTTTGTTGTTATGTGCAAAGGGGAAGTAGTTGAACAACCCCTTTTTACAGTACCATTAATAGTGCAACCATTATTACAGGAGTTTAGTGAGTTGGTGCCGGAAGACTTGCCTGATAGTCTCCCTCCCATGAGGGACATTCAACACCACATTGACTTGGTGCCTGGGGCGAGCCTGCCAAATCTACCACATTACCGAATGAGTCCCAACGAGAGTTAGATCTTACAAGAGCAAGTGGAAGAAGAGCATGAGCCCATGTGTTGTTCTGACCTTGCCAGTACCGAAGAAAGATGGCAGTTGGAGAATGTGCATTGATAGTCGCACAATAACAGAATCACTGTCAAGTACAGATTTTCCATTCCACGGTTGGATGATATGCTGGATATGTTGGCGGGATCGAAAGTCTTCACCAAAGTGGACCTCAAGAGTGGATACCATCAGATCAGAATCCGTCCTGGGGATGAGTGGAAAACGGCGTTCAAGACAAAATGAGGACTGTACGAGTGGTTAACCATTCCATTCGGATTATCTAACGCGCCAAGTACTTTCATGTAGTTGATGAATCAGGTACTCAAACCATTTATCGGTTGATTTGTAGTTATTTATTTCGACGATATTCTGGTTTATAGTTAAACAGAGGCATAACACCTTTTGCACTTGAGAGAGGTATTAACAGCTTTGCAGAAGAATAAACTGTTCATTAATCTGAAGAAGTGTAGCTTTGTGACCCCAAGCCTAGTATTCCTCGGCTATGTGGTTTGTAGTGATGGCATTCGGGTAGATGAGGAGAAGGTGAGGGCCATTCCGCAGCAGCCTATGCCGAAGAATGTGGGAGAAGTATGCAGTTTCCATGGCTTAGCCACGTTCTACCGAAGGTTCATCAAGAACTTTAGTAGTATTGTGGCTCCTATCACAGAATGCATGAAGCAAGGAAAATTCCAATAGGGAGAGGAAGCTAAGATGAGTTTTGCCTTAATCAAGAAAAAACTGTCAACAACCCTAATCTTAGTCCTTCCATATTTTAAGAAGCTATTCCAGGTGGATTGTGATGCCTCAATAGTGGGAATCGGAGCAGTTCTATCACAAGAAGGAAGGCCAGTAGCGTTTTACAGTGAGAAGCTGAGTGAAGCACGCAAGAAGTGGACTACCTATGAGTTGGAATTCTATGCGGTGGTGCAAACATTGCGTATGTGAGAGCATTATCTTATCTAGTGAGAGTTTGTGTTGTTTACAGATCACCAAGCATTGAAATCCATTAACAATCAAAACAGTGTTAATCGGATGTATGCGAGATGGGCGGCTTATATCTAGCGATTCACCTTTTTGCTAAAACACAAGTCAGGCCAACATAACAAAGTTACAAATGCACTAAGTCGGAGAGTAGATTTCTTAGTGATTATAAGGGCTGAAATCACAGGTTCGAGTGCCTGAAGGAGTTATATGAGGCCGACGAAGATTTTGGCTAAGCTTGGGAAGCGTGTAAAACTAGCCAATCCTTTAAAGGGTTGCACATGCAGGAAGTACTTATCTTTAATGGCAATCAGTTGTGTATTCCACGGAGTTCTTTGCGGGAGCAAGTGGTTCGTGAATTGTATGGAGGAGGATTAGGAGGACATTTGGGGCGTGATAAGACGCGAGAGCTGGTAGAAGAACGGTATTATTGGCCGCAACTCAAGTGTGACGTGGAGAACCATGTGTGGTGGTGCTCAATTTGCCAAACTAGTAAGGCCAATCTCAGCTGGTCTTTACACACCGCTGCCTATTCCAGATGCTCCATGGGAGGATTTATCCATAGATTTGTTCTAGGGTTGCTGAGGATGTATCGAGGAGCAAACTCTGTTTTTGTGGTGGTCGATCGATTTTCCAAGATGAACCATTTTATTGCATGCAAGAAGACGAACGATGCAGTCCAAATGGCCATTCTGTTCTTTGAGGAGGTGGTTCATTTACATGGGGTGCCACAGTCTAATCGTGACACCAAGTTCTTGTCTCACTTTTGGCGGACTTTATGGAAGAGAT